GGTTTTTTTTTTTTTTTTTTTTTTTTTTTTTTTGGCCGCACCACGTGATCTGTGGGATTTTAGTTCCCTGACCAGGGACTGAACCCGGGCCATGCCAGTGAAAGCCCGGAATCCTAACCATTGTCATTTTTCCTGCCTGCTTGGGATGGAAATTCTGTCTTATGTGGAATGGATCAATCTCTTGGAGGAATGTGCCTGTTTTTAATTGTGTTGAGTAGAGGTGATTATGTACGGTAGTTTTGTGAAAGAATGTTGTGAACGCATGGCAGAACTCAATTGATTTTTCATTTAAAAAAATTTAGGTGGTTTCATGGACATCTGTCTGGGAAAGAAGCAGAGAAATTATTAACCGAGAAAGGAAAACATGGTAGCTTTCTTGTGCGGGAGAGCCAGAGCCACCCTGGAGATTTTGTTCTCTCTGTCCGAACCGGAGATGACAAAGGGGAGAGCAATGACGGCAAGTCTAAAGTGACCCATGTTATGATCCGCTGTCAGGTAAAACCCGGATTGAACTGTGGGTCTGGCGAAATGTCATCTTTGGGTGGTTTTTCTGCTGGGAGAAGACCGACACCATTACTTCCAAAGTCATTTAGTTAAGGGCTTCTACACTTTTAGTACCTTGTTAATTATAACTGTTTTATCATTTCCGAACTTTATTAAATTACTTATTTTCTCTTGATCTCTGGCAGATTAAGTCATGCCTCAGTACGTCACCTTCTGCCCTGCAGTATCTTTTTTTTTTCTTTGGCTGCATCACGCAGCTTATAGGATCTTAGTTCCCCGACCAGGGATTGAACCTGAACCCTTGGCAGTGAAAGCACGGAGTCCTAACCACTGGACCGCCAGGGAATTCCCAGCCCTGCAGTATCTCAATCTGTGCTTGGTTACAGCTGGAGTCTGCCTCTGTCTCAATTTCTAAAGCGATGGCCTCAGCTTCTCCCTTGGGTCAGCACAGTCTAGCCTTTGACTACATGTACTTTCATATTATAGAATTCTGGTTAAGGCTGGGAGAACTGAACTCACCATTTCTTGTTTTTAATGTGATGGCTAGACCAGGGAGGTTGGTTCTTGGTCAACTACATCAAACTTTGTTTTGACATAGTTTCCTAAATAGCAACTGTCTATTCACTTATTGCTTCAGTTTTTCAATAAGATTTTTAAAAAAAACCCAAAAAACCCAGCTTTATTGAGATATAATTCACACACCATACAATTCACCCTTTTAAAGTGGACAATTTGGTGGTTTTTAGTATATTCACAAATTAGGCAGCCAACAACGTTAATTCCAGAACATTTTCATCACCCCCAAAAGAAACCCTGGGTTCATTACCAGTCCCTCCCCATTTTTCCCCCTCTCCCTAGCTCTTGGCAACCACTAACCTCTTTGTTTCAATGGATTTGCCTATTTTGTATATTTTATATAGATGGAAGCATGTAATATGTGGCCTTTTGTGATTGACTTCTTTTACTTAGCATGTTTTTCAAGGTTTATCCATGTTATAGCATGTGTCAGTAAACTCTTTATTGGCAAACATTTTGTTGTGTGGATATATACCACATTTTGTTTATCCATTAAAAAATTAATGGGCATTTTGGCCCATTAATTATTATGAATAATGCTGCTATGAATATTTATGTACATTTATGTATTTATCATTTTGTGATATTCTCTGTTTGATGAGACATCATGTTCATATTTTCTTTTAATTTATACTTTCCTTTAGTTCTTTGAATATATTTATACTAGCTGGTTTAAAGTCTTTGTCTGGACTTTCTCAAGGACAGTTTCTGTTGAATGCTTCCCACCCTCCCCCCCACCCCCAAGTATGGACCATATTTTCTTGTTTCTTTGCATGTCTCATAAGTTTTTGTTGGAAACTAGGCATTTTAAATAATATGATATAAATCCTTTGCCCTCCTTTCTGAAGCAGTATTATTTGTTGTTGCTACTTTTTCTTGTTCCTGTAGTTGTTGTTGCTGTTTGTGTGTTCAGTGACTTTCCTGTCTTTGTCTTGTGTGGCCACTGAAGTCTTTGCTTGGGTAGCTTAGTGATCAGTTAATGATTGAACAGAGATTTCCTTAAATGCCTTGAAACATTAAATCTCCCAGCCTTTGCCAGGGAGGCTCTGTGTGTGTGTGTGTGTGTGTTGGGACACAACTGCCTTCAGTGCTCTGGCACCTTAAAACTGTGCCTTAGTCTTCACTTCCTGCTTGCACAGAACCTCAGGATCAGCTAGAGGTAAAGATTAGGGCCTTTTTGGATCTCTCCTGGACTTCACACAGCCATGCACGTGCACATGCACATGTCCTTCTAGATCCTCAAGGATATGTTGGAGGTTTTCAGAGCCCCCGTGTGGACGATGTCTGGATTTTCCTTTTAAGTTTTTGATCAATCTGTTATTTGCCCTGACTGGTATTGCTGCCTTAGGCCACTGTGATATTAAACAATTGCTGCTAATTGTTTTGGGGAGATCCCCTGAAGGCAGGCTGAGTAAGCTGTAAGTCAATCAAATAAAGACAAACTCTGAAAATAAGGCTTTCCCAGGGAGCTGCTAAACGGATCAGACAGTGATAATTGTCTAGGGATAGGTCTGGAAAGAGCTCCAAATCCATCTGTCTACTTCAGTTATGCTAAGCTGCTTTGTTTTCACAGCTGCTGTGGTTATGAGACTATTGGTTTTCAAGGCTACCAAGAAGCTGGGGAGAGGTAGGTGGGAATAGGGCAAGTTAAAAGGCCACAATTTGTTGTTCTCATCAAGGTTCAATCTTTTTCTTGAATAAATGCTCCTTGAACTTTATTGGTTAATTGTCAGAGTTCTGAAAAAGTTGATGACAATTTTTGCCAGGGTTCTTGCTACTTTTGTGAAAGAGCAGATTTTCAGAGGTCCTTCCTCTGTCATTCTGAAAGTGCTCCTTCCCCCCTCACTCGATTTATTTTTAAATATAAAATGTCACACCCAAATATCTTCATATATCATTTCTAGGGTTTTGTGTTTTCTAAGTTTAACCATTTTCCTGTTGTTTTCCTGAAACAGCCTATTCTGGTCTCCTTGTCAGAAAAAATTTCCTGGTCTCTGTTTATAATTTCCCTTTTAAATTTTCATTAGAAGATGAAAGTAAAGGCTTGTATATTGGGCTTCAGTGCTGCCTCACCAGCCTTAGAGCTTGTTGTGTTTCAGAGAGAAGTAGTTATTTATCTTCTGTTCAGCAGCCTTGTGTATAGTCACTTAGCCTAGAGTATAAGTAAGTAGTAAATATGGTTTTTCTTTTTTTTTTTTTTCTAGCTATTTAGTTAACCTATGAGGGAGAAACTTTTTTGTGGCCTAGTTAATGTTGGATACTTATTTAGAGCTTCTCACGCCTCACAATGAACTCTTTTACATTGGATCTGCTTCTCCATTTTCATCATCTTTGTTGCTTCCCTTTCTTTGTGCTCTTACAGCTCTTCAATCTTTCCATTATTGGGGGAGAGTTAGTCTCTGTGCTTGAGTTGGGAAAAACAGTAATTTAACATAAAGGTCATGAACATAATTTTCTTTTTGTCTTGAAAGGAACTGAAGTATGATGTTGGTGGAGGAGAACGGTTTGACTCTTTGACAGATCTCGTGGAGCATTACAAGAAGAATCCTATGGTAGAAACATTGGGCACAGTACTACAACTCAAGCAGGTAAGCATTTTGGAAAGCTAAACTCCCCCTCCTTATAGAGTTTTAAGAAGTCCGAACATAGAATATTCCAAACAGACAGAAGTAGAATAGTATCGTGAACCTCCATGCACCCATCCCCCAGCTTCAATTACGATCAACTCATCAAATCTTGTTTCATTTATTACTGCACTCACTACCTTCTCCTTGTAGTATTTGGAAACACGTTCTAGATATTACATCATTTTCATGATTATCTCCATATGTAATTCTAAAAGGCCTTATGGAGTTTTTAAAGCAAGGTTTTTATCAAATTTTCATTTTAGGTGTACCTTTGGTTACCTTTAGGTGATCATACCTTTACATTTTGGAGTTATTGCTGTTTCAAAGCTCACACTTATTACTTAGTGGCAAATGATACCATCTCTAACATTGTGGTCTATTTCTAAAGAAAAATACGTTTGAATTTATATCAGCAACATGTGTGGAGATTGAAGAAACATATATTTCCTGAAAGAACAGAAAGAAAAGTGAAACTCTGTTTGAAAACTTTTACTGTGAACTTCCTGTCCTTGCCTCTGTGAACACCAACATAGAAGTCTTTTTTTTTTTTCTTTGCATTAACACTTTTTTCTGTAATACTTTCTTCATTTCACACCAACTGCTGAATTTGATTAGCCCCTCAACACAACTCGTATCAATGCTGCTGAAATAGAAAGTCGGGTTCGAGAACTAAGCAAATTAGCTGAGACCACAGATAAAGTCAAACAAGGCTTTTGGGAAGAATTTGAGGTAAGTTATTAAAAAAATTTTTTTTACATGATTTATTAAATCCTGTTCTTAATGGAAGAGAAGTTGGTTTTATGTTTGGGATTGGATCTGAAAGACTCGGATCTGCATCCTTTCTTAATTTGGCCATTGAATGACATGGAACAAGTTGCTGAGGGGGCTTTTTCAAATAGAGCTGCATTGTGTTCTGGGAGAAGGGAGTTGGCAGTTAATATTAAATGGATGAGCCAATAGCTCCATTTGGGTCTTTTGGTTTGGACTGCTGGCAAAACCCCAGAAAAAGAAAAGAATCTAATTCTTCGGAAGATTTCCACCATTGGCTGGGGTCTTTAGACTAAAGAATCTAGAGCTTTACTGCAGTGAATAAGTGAAAGACAGTTATGTCACGGTGGCTTTAATCTGGGAGTTGAAATTTATATCTTTGAGAGGTTAAGTGAACTGATTTCTTTCCTGAAACCCGCTTGGGTAGGAGAATGTCCCCAGTGGGAGTGGACTGTGTTCCTCTTGCACTGAAGTTTGTCACCTGCCAACTCATTGTAATCTTATTCTCTCCGTTATCATCCCTGTGACAGAAAACTTCGTCAAAAACAATTTTTTGGGTGTGTGTGCCATATTTACCTTCATAGTTATTCTTAGCATGTAGCACAGTGCCTAGTACACAGCAGAAACTCCATAAATGTTTGTTGAATGAGTATTTACATTTAGCTAATATTTATGTTATTTTATTAATACTACTCTGTTTATGGGAATGATTATTCCATACTTTTTGTAGGACTTTAGAATTCATAAATATTTGTGGAATGAATGAACAAATGAATGGCCACATCAAGTCCTTTTAACCACAGTATGTCAGATCAACTTGGTGAGATATTATTTCCATTTTACAGGCGAGGAGCCTCAGACTCAGGGAGGTTAAGTAAATTGTCCAACTTCTGTACCACGAATATTGATTGAATTGCAGCACTGAGGATGTGTACAGAATAGAACAGTCATGGTCATTGCTGAACATTGCTAACCAGGGACTTGACCTCACATTTATTCTTTTATACCAGCATTGGGTTAGTCACCAAGGACACCATGGTGAACAAGATGGACAGGGTTTCGTCTTTAAGGAGCTTTGAGTTGAGAGAGGGATAAGTACAGAAATTTTAGAAATCTTACATCAAAATTTGAATGAAAAGCCTATTTTTAAAAACTTTTTATTATGCAAAATTTCAAATATATACAGAAGCAGAGTGAATTGTATAATTATAGCAATATATACCTATCACTCAGCATTAACAATTGTTGATATCTGGCCAGTCTTTATTTTTTATAAATTAATTAAATTAAATTAATTTAATTATAAATTAATTAAATTAATTAATTTATTTTTGGCGGCGTTGGGTCTTCGTTGCTGCGCATGCGCTTTCTCTAGTTGTGGCGAGCAGAGGCTACTCTTTGTTGAGGTGTGCGGGCTTCTCGTTGCAGTGGCTCTAGAGCACAGGTTCAAAAGTTGTGGTACATGGGCTTAGTTGCTTGGACCAGCAATCGCACCTGTGTCCCCTGCATTGGCAGGCAGATTCTTAACCACTGCGCCATCAGGGAAGCCCCTGGCCAGTCTTTTTAAACTATACCCCACTTAATTCCCCCAGCCCTGGCTTATCTTGAAGCAAATCCCAGATGTTATTTCATCTGTAACTATTTCATTAAAAAAAATTATAACCAGAATATCATTATCACTCCTAAAACTATTAACAATAATTTCTTAATATTAACACATATCAGTCACTGTTCACATTTTCTTGATACACACACACACACACACACACACACACACACTTGCAGATTATTTGAATTGGGAAGTGTTTTTTCCCCACTTGATTATGAAAAAAAATTTGAATATAAAATAGATTTGTATAAAGAACCCCCATGTACTATTATCAGTTTCACCAGTTACCCCAGATATCACATGAAATATCATAAATATTTAAGTATTCATGGAATTGTTAAAAAATTCACCAAAACACTACTACCACATCTAAAAAAAGATAATAAAAATTCATCAAATAGCTAGTCATTGTTCCAATTAGGATAGTTGTCTTTTTTTTTTTTTTTTAATCTGTTTGTTGTTGGATCATTTTTCAAATAAGTTCCCCATGGATCTCTGTTTTTAAACTCTGTTTTTTTTGTTTTGTTTTGTTTTGCTGTGAGGCTTGTGGGATCTTAGTTCCCCAATCAGGGATCGAACCTGGGCCCTTGACAGTGAAAGTACAGAGTCCTAACCACAAGACCACCGGGGAATTCCCACATTTTAAAAATCTTAAGCCTCTTTATATTCTTACTCTCCTTTCAGCCTCTCTATTCCATCCTTTCCCCTCCCTTCCTTTCTCTTCCACTCCCTTTTCTTCTCGTTCTGTATTAGTCCATTCAGCTGATACAACAAAATACCATAGACTGAGTGGCTATACACAACTGAATTATATTTCTCAGAGTTCTCCAAATTCTGGAGTTCTGGAGGCTGGATGTGAGATCATGGTGCCAGTATGGTGCGGTGAGGGTCCTCTTCCAGATTGGCAACTTCTCATTGTATTCCCTCCTGACAGAAGGGGTGAGGGAGCTCTGTGGGCCCTCTGTATGAGGGCACTAATCCCATTCATGAGGGCTCCACCCTCCTGACCTAATCACTTCCCAAAGGCCTCACCTTCTAATACCATCACCTTGGGCATCAGGATTTCAACATAGGAATTTTGGGGAGACACAAACATTCAGACCATAGGACCCTGTTTTTTGTTACTGTTTTTGTTATTGGAGAAAGCAGGTCCTTTGTCCAGAGAGTTACTTACGATCTGGATTTTTCTGAGTGTGTCTCTGTGGTGGATTTTAACACCTTTCTCCCCTGTATCTCTTGTAAGTTGATCTATCTAGACACTTTGTTAGATCCAGTTTTTCTTTGGCAAGACTACATATGAGATGGTGTGTCAGGAGGTGCTTATGTCCTGTTGCTTCTCTTTTTATTTTCTAAGCAGCAACTGGTAATTATTGCCTAGACCCATTCACTTATAAGGTGTGTAATAACTTTATCATTTGTCATTATTAGCTGGAATATTTCTATAAAGATAAGCTTTTTGTCACCAAGGCAGGATATATGCTTGATTCTTTCCTGTTTACTAAGTAGTTTTAAAAATAGTGTTCTCCCAAAAAAAATTTTTTTATCAATATGTACTCATGGATTTTTTAAACATATTTAGTGTGCTTCTATCTATGGCATTTATTATCACTTCTGTTGGTTAAATTATTTTAGCTTTGACCAGTGGGAGCTTCTGCAAGCTGGCTTCTACTCCTTCCTATACAACTCTGGTAGTTTTTGCTAGATTCCTTACTCTCTGGTGTAATAAGTTGTTACAGTGTAATACATTTCCCATGTCAGAACTGCAATCAGTCATTTCTCCAAGGAGTGAGTTAGCTTTTCTCTCACTTTCCTCCCTTTCTTCCTTCCTTCTCTTTCTTCCTTTCCTGGGAAGTGGTATTTAGAGACTACATTCTGGGAGCCAGAAGTGTTTATTGTTGTCAGGTTGGTTATTTCCATCTCAATGTGTGGAGCTAGAAAAAATTGTTTTCTTGAAATAAATTATGAGTCCAAAATGATACTTCCAATTCAAATTTAGGACTCAGACTAATAAGACTTCCGTTACCCCCAATAATATCATTACTGAAAACAGTTTAATTGTTTGTTTGTTTGTTTTTTTTTCGGTACGCGGGCCTCTCACTGTTGTGGCCTCTCCCGTTGCGGAGCACAGGCTCCGGACGCGCAGGCACAGTGGCCACGGCGCATGGGCCCAGCTGCTCCGCGGCATGTGGGATCTTCCCGGACTGGGGCACGAACCCGTGTACCCTGCATCGGCAGGCGGACTCTCAGCCACTGTGCCACCAGGGAAGCCCAACAGTTTAATTTTTTTTCCAGCTTTTATTTTTTAAACCTTAGGGTAGATCCTTCAGAGATGTATAGTCAAATTACTGTGCTTTCAACTCATTTGTAATAGTTCTTCTCTATGTGGTTATGTACTAACTGGATATACAGCTAGGTTATTTGTTTCATTTTATGTTTGGATTTCAGAAATTTCTTTCTATAAAATTTTATTTACAATTATATAAAATATTGCCTTTGATTCTAAAGTCAAATATAAAAAGTACATTCAAAGAAGTTTATCTTCTATCCTTGTCTTTTCCTCCTTATATTTACAGCCATTTAAAAAAAAGTTGAAGTTCATCATTACCTTTCAAAAAGTATAAGCAAATATAAATCTGTAATTTCATAATCCATCCTTTCATGGATAAATAGTAGCATAATTTTTCATACTTTTTTCCAACTTCTCTTTTTTATTACATTGGAGATCACTCCACAGTAGTATCTACAGCTAGTCTTCATTCATTTCTACTGCACAGTACTCCACTGTATGGATGTACCATAGTTTATTCAACCTATTGATGAGCATTTGGATAGTTTCCAAATATATTACAAAGAAGATAAAATGGATAGCCTTGTACATGCATATTTTTCTCTTTTTGCTGATTATTGTTAATATTAACATTTTTTTTGATATTCTGTGTTAAAAAAAAGTGCTGATTGTTACTCATCTTTAATTAATTAATTTATTTTTTTGCCGGGCCGTGTGGCTTGCAGGATCACAGTTCCCGATCAGGGATTGAACCCAGGCCACAGCAGTGAAAGCGCCGAAACCTAACCAACTACACCACCAGGGAACCCCCTACTCATCTTTAATTTTTATTATATATCCTACATGATTTTGGTTAGCATATTTAAAGTCTGAAAAGTATTTTTAATTGAAATTAAAAGATATCAAACCTTTTTGGTAAATATAAGAAGTGAGCTAGGGGCTTCCCTGGTGGTGCAGTGGACACGGGTTCCTGCCAATGCCTGCCAATGCAGGGGACACGGGTTCGAGCCCTGGTCCGGGAAGATTCCACATGCCGCGGAGCAGCTGGGCCCATGTGCCATAATT